AAGTGTGTAAATATATAAGAAATAAAAATTTAATTATTATAGATACAAATATTTATGCTATTTCATTTATATACATTTAAGTTTTTTTTTTAAATATAACTTATTATTTGCATTTATTAAATTATTTGCATATTATTAAAAAAAGTTTTTAACTTTGTAATGTCATTATTTTTACATAATTGTTATAGCTGTTTTTACAGTTTTTTATAATTATGAATATAGCATTTTTATAATTATAATATAAAATCAAATTAGAAAATAATTTTATTATTTGGTATTTAATTTATGATACATACGATCATAATATTTGGAATTATTATATTCGTTTCATTTTAGAATTTGCATAATTAAATGATTTATAATATATATTTATAATATATCGTTGAATGTACCAAATTGTTGTATTTTATTATATAAAAATTATACATTTACATATATACATTTGTAATTTATGGTACAAATGGGATCAAAAAAATATATTTAAATGAAATCATAACTGCGAAAAACGAAATTTATTTACGAAGATATAGATTTCGAAAAAACATAATTAAGAGTCAATCAAATATTATTTACGTATGTATTTGAATATTGATTGATATTTAGATCAATATATATCATTATTAAATAATTTTATATAAAATAAAATATCTGGTCATATTTATTAATCTTAATATTTATTAACATGTATTTAAGATGTGGATCACATTAAATATAATGAATAATAGTAATAATAAAATAATAATTAAAAATAGTTAAAATAATTGCTTTAATTGAATTTAGTTTGTTATTTATTAATTGATGATTTTATAATTTGAAGAATTTCATATATGTAAGGTCAACATTTTAAATATCTTAATTAAAAATTGTAGATAGATTAAGAAAATAAGAAATTAAATTTAATTAATATTAATAGAGTAACTATACTATTTATTTCATTATTAACATTTGTTATATTTAGTATTTCCCAAAACTTGAAAAATTAGATATTGATAATACTTCAATATAAAAATCTTTAATATCAATCAGTCAAATGTATTTATCATATAAATATATATTGAATTTGATTAATTTTTAAATATAATTTTTGTTCAAAAATAATATCTTCAATTTTTTAATTTTCTTAATTTTTATATTTGAATTATAAAATTAGCATCTTCTTAGTTCCATTTATACTATAGATTATGAACTCTTTATGAATATATTATATTCTCTATGAATTGTAATAAGAAATCACTAATATTAATCAATCATTTATTATCAACTATTCTCTATATAATATAAATCTTTATATTATAAGATATAATTATATTAAAAATAAATATATTTCGCATTTAAATATTTTTTATTTATATTCAAAATTTTTTTGTTTCTAATAACATTAATTTTATTGATCATAATTAAAATGATTTTATGATTTAATTTAATATTTTTTTATTATATAAAATTTACTATATCTTCTGTATCTTCATATTTCAATATCAATTGATAAATATATATATATAATATAATATAATATAATATATATATATAACAAAATTAATTATATAAAAAAATGCATTATAATCTATAAAACAAAATTATAATCACAATATTATAATTTAAAAATCATTTTTATGAAACCTTATATTTGTAATAACAAATTAAGATGTAAGGGAAAAATTAAACTTAAATTAAAAAAAAATATATATTAAATAATACATTAAAATTAAAAATAAAAATACAGATATAATATAAATCTAATTTTCATGCAATAATATTTGTTTTATCATTTCAATAAAGTATTACAAAATTTCCGTATCTAAAAATAATGATTAAAAAATATAAATCATCTTTTTAAATATATTTTTATATTTTTCTTTATGAACAATAATATAGAAAATAAGATTAAAAAAATAATTGTATTTTAAAACTTTTAATTAAATTAGAGAAATTATATCTTTTCTTTTCTCTATTGTAAATTTCAATGGTTTATTTTTAACACTTTTTAGTACTTTGGATATATATTTTGTTTCCTATTTACCAATTTTTTTGCATTTGTACACAAAAAAAAAAACGAAGCATAAACAATGTACAAATTTTATATCATCATTAAAAATACTAAGAAGCATATGCTTCATTTATTACGTTAATAATTTATTTTATTTGGTATTTTTTTAATTTATACTGATGAAAAATACAAATGAATATTTAAACTTCGTCTTCACTGGACTCACTGCTATATGCCAATTGTTCCTTCCACCATTCTCGAACTTCTAGCATAATGCTGGAAGGTTTTGATACAATTGCCTTTGCATTGATTGTTTCCCGCTGTTGTCTGCTTTGCTCAGTGCTCTCTGTGAGATGTGGCAAATTATTTTTCGGCATCGCTTCAAATGGAAAGTTCATGTTGGACAAAAGCAAAATAAAAAGATATAAATATATAATGAAAAAAATATATTTACGTGGAGGTCTATTATTTTTTTTTTTGGTACCGCATTTTTATCTTTTTCACATCTAATTGAAGCAGGATCTGATAATGTTGGAGTTAAATACTTTCTTCCTGATCCACTACCTATGCTATCAGATCTTGGAAGAACGACTGGTTTTTTTACTTTATGTCTAGTTCCATCAGTATCCTTAAATTTAATATTAATAATAAATAATAAAAATTAATAAAAATAACAGATAAAAAATACAAAAATTATACTATATATATATTTTAATATACAGTATAATATATTAAAAAATATATAACAAATAATATAAAAATTTACTTTTGTTTCAATTTCTTCTTCTTTGACGATCTCTTTTCCTTTCTCTTCTACATGTTCTTGCTGTTGAACTTGTTCAGTATTAGCGCGAAGACCTGCTACAAGACTATTTTGTTGCTTCTACAATGTATCAATTAAATAATTCATTTTATTTAATATTTTATTTTTTTAAAAATACTTGGAATATTTTATACTATTTTTCTTTAAACTTACCCCACTTGCACGAATTTTTTTTAGACAACCTTCTAGCCAATTTCTGATTGTTTGCTTAGCAACTTCTTCTTCAATAATATATTCAAACTCTTCTCTCGCCAATAATTCTTCAAGCTGAAGAGCTTTTCGAATATCAACTGAACGATAGGATAACATACTGAAGAAAAATATTTTTTATTAATAGAAATATTTAAAAAAATATATATATTTGTTTATCAAAAAATTTACTTGATAACATCATGAAAAGTAACATCTTCCCCATTATTCAACTTTTCTAGTTCATAACACATATGTTTAAAAAGAAGACGATCCTTCTGTGGATCAGTCTCTAATCTGCCTTTTAATAATCGTAAAATAAACTTTACCTAAAACAAACTAATATATCATTATTTCTAGCCAATTTATAATAGTTTATTAAACATGTAATAATTTCTCTTATAAACGTACCCGTTTCACAGGTATAAAACCTTTTTGATGATTGTCAACAACATTCCAAGTGTTTTGAAAGTTTCTAATATCAGCATAAGATAATAAAGCATCTTCTTCATTTGAATAAAATAAGAAAAATTTTCCATAATAATAGCTATTATAGAAAATTAGTTTTTAGATATTATTCTAAAATAATCAATATATATTTGAAACAATCAATTAATACTTACCAACTAGAAGATTTAAAACGATATAAGTAATAATGACATAGAAAGTACAAAAATATATTAAAGAAGCATGAAAGTTGCCGCAATCAGTTTCCCAATAATTAGCGGCAGGAGTACAATACGGTGGTTGTATCATGCAATCATGCATTATTTTATTCCAGTCTTCACCTGTGACAATACGGAAGAGCATCGCAACGCCAGTTACAGGTGACTCAAAATTAGCACGCCTAAATAATAATTGCTTCTTTTAATATTATATTAAAATAAAAATATTCGTACTATTTAATTATTTTAATAGAATTATTTTTTGGTTTTGTTATATAAAAATACATAATATTACCTTCCTATACCTTCACCATACTTTACAGTTCCAAAGATAATCGTACCAGCTAGTGCATAAAAGAAAACAAGGAGAAACATGCCAAATATAATGAAAAAACTTTTACAAACGGATACTCCAACTGTTAACATCAACATTTTGAGAGTTGTATGTTTTCCAGTAATTGTAAAGAATCTAAGAATCACAACCATAAAGCCGATTACGTACGACAAATCGTTCTGCAAAAAAGATATTCATTAAAAATCTATATTATATATTTATAAATTATAACAATAATGATAAAATTTCATTTTCGTTTTCTCTCTCTCTCTCTC